TCTACTTGCATTGGTCAAGGTTGAAAGGCTGGGGGGGGGCAGTGGAAATGTGGATTCTCACTGTGCCAGTTCCAAGTTGATGAGGCAGAGAGGTCTGCATTGGGCCTATGACTAATAGCTGAACCAGTTTACGATTCAGGATCTCCTTGGCTGAACCAGTTCCCGATCATTGTTAAGTTCTGCGGAACTAAGTAAATGGGCTATAATCTGGGATATGATTGCGATGAACCAAAACCAATGAAAGCAATGATATTTTAGCTTCCAGAAAAGCTGAATTACATACTCCCCCCCAACATTTTCCCAATGAAAATAGGGACATCCCTTACTATTATTATTATTATTTTACCCTGCCAATGAAAATAGGTACCACAACAACAACAACAACAACAACAGCAACAGCAACAGCAACAACACCCTGCTCAACTGGCTCGGATGCCCCAGCCACTCTGAGTGGCCTCCAACATATATTGAAACATCCTCAAACATTAAACTTTAAGAAACTTCCCTATGTAGGTCTACCTTCAGATGTCTTCTAAAGGTTGGGTAGTTACTTATCTCCTTGGCTCAGGGGTTGCATAACTCCATGCCCTCCAACATTTCTCCGGTGAAAATAGGGACGTCCTAAGGAATAGTGGAACATTCCACGATCAAATCAGAAACTGGGATGGCGTCTGTAAATCTGGGACTGTCCCTGGAAAATAGGGACACTTGGAGGGTCTGGAATGGGTTTTTAATGAAAAGATTTTGTGGGTAAAAATATGCAATCATAACACAAACTAGAAATGCACAGTATTGCCCATCCTTAGTCCTGAGAAGATTTGTTAAAAATATAATTAGATAAGCTAAGGTCTTGTCAACAGAACAGTTTTGAATGAGCTGGCTAGTCCTGGTCAATTGATTCAGCTCCAATTCATCTCTCTGATGAAGGAACACACAGGGACTCCAGATCACTTTATTTTGAGATTGCGGCACAAAGGAAACATCAAAGAAAAAAATCTTGCCAGCAAATAAGCTAAACAGGAGCTGTTTGGCAGAAATCCAAATGATTAGCATATTGCAAGCTACTGTACTATCAAGCAGGCTTTAGAAAACGGAACAGATTGACCAGGAGAAGATCTGTTATTACTTGCAAGGGTTTGTCAACAAGATATTTTTTTCTTTTTTTTTAAAGGAAGGTGGGGGTGGAAATCGTTCAGAACGAGTACAAGAATGAGCAACCAGCCTCTCCACATATGATTCAGGGGGATGTGACTGCAAGGTCACGTTCCTCCATGAACCCATGAAATATTTAAAATTAATTTCATTTGTCAGCCTCCTTTGTCATTAATAATTAACCGGAAATCATTTCCTGGAGTTCAGCGGGTCCCTCTCGCCTCAGAAACGCTTCTCCATAGACACGCTAGCACCTGTTTTAGAAGCTTCAAATGATACTTAGAATTATTTCCTGCGTCTTTCTTGTGCTAAATAAATAAATAATACCGGGCACAACTACCATAAATCAAACAGCATTATAACAGGGCTTGTGGATGAGGGTGGCGGATTGGAAAGAGAGGGGGGGGGAATGAATGTATATTTGACAAAGATAAACTCCATCTCTGCAATAGCTCTAAGCAGCCTCCTGCGGTCCAGGCATGCAAGGTTCAGTGGTCCAGGCCTGACATGCTTGCTAGGTTTGTGCCTGTGGGGGTGTGAGTTAGGAGAAGGCTCAGAGCTCCGTGCTAGAACAGATGTTTTGTGTAGAGCGTGGCAGGTTCAATCTACTTAAAAGGATGTAGCCAGCTGCACACATACACACACACACCCCAAACCTAAGACCGGTGAGAGGCACCGTCAGTCATGGCAGACAGAACTGGGAAAGACTGATCAATAGCTCTGCAAAAGGAAACTTCATACGTCTCTCTGATTTGAGGAGGGCTATAACAAGGTGCATCTCAAAGTTCAAAAGTTCTAGCCTCACCTCCAGCAAAAGGATACCGGGTAGAATACCTGAGCAAACCCCCTCCCGAGACATTAAAAACCCACAGTGTATCAAATCAGACACTTGTCAACATACACACCATATTGCCAGGATGCTGCCAGCAGTTCCCAGTTGGTTGCCCAGAAAAGTTTAAAGACAAGGAAAAGTTCCTTATAGTCCTTTTTTATTTCAGTCTTTACAGAGAGAGGCTATAGAACCCACTCTCTTGGATAATGGCGTTGTCCCGAGTGAATCTCCAGCCCTGCATCTCTCCCACTTCCTCATTCATCAGCATCATCACCTCTTCTATGGGTGCTGCTAAGCTCTTTGAGCTCTTTGCTCTCCTACTTTTCAGGCTCGCCGGGTTCTGGGAGATGGAGGGTCTAGAATGCTTTCTAATGGCAGCATATCAGCCAGCTGTTGCTCTGGTTCCCCCATGATTTCCCAAATTTTCCCCACAACTACCACTGAGCTGTGACCTCCCGCAAACCCCTCTTGTAAATCTATGCTGTTCCCCCCTCCTCCTCCTCCTCCTCCCTGGAAGGGTCAGGATGGGGAGGTAGTCTCCACCATTCCTCCTCTGCCCAGTCCCTGACACGTCTATAGAATCTTAGAATCTTAGAGTTGGAAGGGATCCCAAGAGCCATCTCGTCCAACCCCCTGTGATGCAGGAATCTCAGGTAAAGCATCCATGACAGGTGGCCACCCAACCTCTGCCTAAAAACCTCCAAGGAAAGAGGGTCTACCACCTTTCATGGGAGTCTGCTCCATTGCTGAACAGCTCTTACTGTCAGAAAGTTCTTTCTGATGTTTAGTCGGATTCTCCTTTCTTGTAACTTGAATCCATTGGTTCAGGTCTTACTCTCGGGAGCAGGAGAAAACAAGCTTGCTCCATCTTCCATGTGACAGTGCTTGAGATATTGGAATATGGCTATCACATCTCTTCTCTGTCTCCTCTTTTTCAGGCTAAACATACCCAGCTCCTTCAACCATTCCTCATAAGGTTTGGTTTCCAGACCCTTGATCATCTTGGTTGCACACATTCCAGCTTGTCAATATCCTTCTTAAATTGTGGTGCCCAGAAAGGGACACAGTATTCCAGGTGTGGTCTGACCAAGGCAGAAAACAGTGGGACTATTACTTTCCTTGACCTGGACACTATCCTTGTGTTGATGTCCCCCCATCTTATATTTGTGCCGTGAGTACTCTGGTATTCTGTGCTTTCCTCTGGTACCTCTCCCCAGGAAGGATTCCCTCTTTCCAAGTCACACCACTTGATTCCACTGATTTTAATAAACTGGGCCCCAGTCTTGTTGGCATCTGTCTGTCTCAGGAGAAAATAGAGGAGTACATCTTTGAGGGTGAAATCAAACCATTGGTTGCACACATAAATGTACACATTAACCTTTCATCTGGATTACTAGGAAGAACAAACACAAGTTTCCATTGCAAATATGTTCTTCGTTCCGAATAAATGCCTCAAGTTACAGAAGCTAAAAAATCATTCCAACTTCTTACAGGAGAATGACAAAGCTTGTCACATTTGCTATAAAGTAGCCAATTCATTTTAAATAGTTAATCAGTACAAAATTATGTTTCACCATTAACAGCAATCAAACAGTAGTTCATAGCTTGCTGCCAACTCCCCCGCCCCAAGACTGTGGCAGGAATGTAACACTCTGCATTTCTTTTGAGCTGCAATTGTCATTTCCTTCCCCTTTCAATCATTCCTTCATTTGTAGTTAAGAATATCTGACTAGCACTTGTTGCAAATCTAGAGCACAGTGTACAGAGCAATGTGCACATTACTGGCACAGAGCAAAGCAACATAATGGAGCCTTCAGCATTCTCATCTGTCTTAGATGAATAGTGGATAATTGCATTAGGAGAAGGGGGATGTGGGTTTTTTTTAATAATAATAATAAACAGGAAATGTGAAACATTTGTCAACGAGGTACTGGGATGTTTGTGAGAAGAAGGAAAAGAGGCTGGGCAAGTGAGTTCTCAGCATAATGAAACCGTACGCAAAGGCATCTGAGGTCCCATCTAAGTTATTTGGTTCCAGTAATTTGAATTTGTCAGATATGCTGATGACACAACCTTGATGGCAGAAAGTGAGGAGGAATTAAAGAACCTTTTAATGAGGGTGAAAGAGAAGAGTGCAAAATATGGTCTGAAGCTCAACATCAAAAAACCTAAGATCATGGCCACTGGTCCCATCACCTCCTGGAAAATAGAAGGGGAAGAAATGGAGGCAGTGAGATATTTTACTTTCTTGGGTTCCATGATCACTGCAGATGGTGACAGCAGTCACAAAATTAAAAGACACCTGCTTCTTGGGAGAAAAGCGATGACAAACCTAGACAGCATCTTAAAAAGCAGAGACATCACCTTGCCGACAAAGGTTCGTATAGTAAAAGCTATGGTTTTCCCAGTAGTGATGTATGGAAGTGAAAGCTCAACCATAAAGAAGGCTGATCGCCGAAGAATTGATGCTTTTGAATTATGGTGCTGGAGGAGACTCTTGAGAGTCTCTTGCAGTCCCATGGACTGTAAGAAGATCAAACCTATCCATTCTTAAGGAAATCATCCCTGAGTGCTCACTGGAAGGACAGATCCTGAAGCTGAGGCTCCAATACTTTGGCCACCTCATGAGAAGAGAAGACTCCCTGGAAAAGACCCTGATGTTGGGAAAGATGGAGGGCACAAGGAGAAGGGGACGACAGAGGACGAGATGGTTGGACAGTGTTCTCGAAGCTACCAACATGAGTTTGACCAAACTGCGGGAGGCAGTGTAAGACAGGAGTGCCTGGCGTGCTCTGGTCCATGGGGTCATGAAGAGTTGGACACGACTAAACGACTAAACAACAACAATTTGAATTTGAATTTGAATTTGAATATTGAATTCATAAATGTGCAAATATTTCCGTGTGAAACATACGGAGGGGCAGAGGAACCCATTCTTATCATCATAGAATTGTTGAATTGGAAGGGACCCTGAGGATCATCTGCTCCACGCCCCTGAAATACAGGATTATGCAGCTGTCCCCGACAGGAATCGAACCTGCAACCTTGGCATTATTAGCACCATGCTCTAACCAACTTGTGGGACATGAAACACAAGAGCAGTCAAGTACAACTTCCCTAGAGTGGACATAAAAAGGGATGTCTGGACCAGCCAGTCGGAACTTCCTGTTTCTCCTAAGCTGGGACAGACTTCCTCTGTATGTGACTAGAGGTGGGCATGACCTCACCTGCCCAGGTAACAAAAGAGCAGGACTGGTCAGCCATATCTCTCTCTCTGACCACATTTGTTAAAGAAGCAACACCTGCTTAGCCTAAGATGCTTCCAGCCAAGAGAGGACGAAGGGACTATCTCCTTATGGGATAGTTTCCAGGTGTATAGAGTGGTACCTCGGGTTACATACGCTTCAGGTTATAGACTCCGCTAACCCAGAAATAGTGCTTCAGGTTAAGAACTTTGCTTCAGGATGAGAACAGAAATCGTGCTCCAGCGGCGCGGCGGCAGCGGGAGGCCCCATTAGCTAAAGTGGTGCTTCAGGTTAAGAACAGTTTCAGGTTAAGTACGGACTTCCAGAACGAATTAAGTATTTAACCCGAGGTACCACTGTATTACTTTTGTAACTTAAGTCTGCCTTCTGCGATCCATTTGTGAGCAGAATGTGAGTGAGTAAACTCTTTTTTATACTTTTAGAAGACTATGTCGTTTCTATCTTTTTACAAGGGACTAAATGGGGAATTGCCAAAGAAGCGTATTTTTGAGGCTTTAGCGAGGCTGAGTAAACGCATCCGCTGTGCAAGTTTAAAAAGGGGGAATGTTACTCTGCTAAATTGTAGAACTTGTTAACACAAGTTGGAAAGGATATAATCAAACAATAAATCCTCTCCTGCATCCCTGAACATTCCCACACAACTGAGCTATCAAGGCATATTCTCTTTAATGTATACACCGAATCTAAGACTAAAATATAGACTTGTATGTCATCTAGCAAGCTTGGTAGTGGACGCTGGGTTTCTGAATTCAGGGTCAAGCCCCTAGCCATTCCCCCCCCCTGTTTTCTTTATATACATATATATAAAACGAATAGTAGCACTGTAAGTAGGTAACATTATTTTGCTTTGTACTCAAAGGAAACCACAGTAAGCTGACTACTCCAACTTATACTTCACTTTAAATTTTAATCAGTCTGACTTCAGAGGAGGGGGGGGGAAGGCTTTAAAGCCTTCATATTAAAATAAAAATCCTGCCTTTGGGGGTTTGAGTAGTAATTTGTAGTTTTAGGATATCATTTATCATTCCGTTTCCTCTAATCCCAGGAGGTTTAGTTATGAGTTGGATTTGCTAGCAGAATGCTGACATTTTTTAGCTACCCCCCCCCCAGAAGATAAACTAAATGTAACAAGCAGAATGAAATCTTTATGGTATGAAATTAAAGGTCATCTTGCAAGCATAAAATGACCTTTCTTCCAGGAATCCATTAGGCTAAAATTTGTAAAATGCTACTAATAAAAAAAGACTTTTACGCTCTTAGATGAATAAATAGGGGTGGCTATACAAATGTAGGAGATAAAAGTTTAAACCCCACCATAGATAAGGAAAACTACCCGAGGAAGCAACGCATAAAAATAATTAGACATATCACTTGTCAATTAGCTCAGAGTCATTTCTTTAAATATATATATATATACAAATTTCTGTTTACACAATAAAAAGTTTCCTACATATTTCAGCATTAATTAAATGAACATCAAAATAAGCAAGCAGAAGAAGAAATGTTTTCTGCCACATGTAGTTTGCTGTACTGGGCTTTAAGAATGGGGCTTAGTAAGTTACATCTTCTTATGTTATCATTCGTTTATATGTTGCCTTTCAGCCAAAAAGGGTCTCGAGAATAAACAGATACAAATACAATAATGGAAATACAAACTAATACAAAAAAATAAATAAATCAAAACATTGAAGTAGTATTGAAAGCCAAACACATACATGTTTGCCTAAAAGGCAAAGAACGTCCCCTGTAAAAATAAATAAATTAATTTAAAAAAATTGTCCAGTAGCACCTTAGAGACCAACTAAGTTTGTTCTGGGTATAAGCTTTTGTGTGCATGCGCACGAAAGCTTATACCCAGAACAAACATAGTTGGTCTCTAAGGTGCTACTGGACAATTTTTAAATTGTATTTATTTATTTCGACTGTGTAAGACCAACATGGCTACCTACCTGAACCCTGTAAATATGTTAAGAGAAGACAATAATACGTAAGCAGCATCTTTGCCTTATAAGATCCTAAGCGAGGTGGAGGGGAAGGCAAGGCAGGTGGAAAAGTTATTTCCTCTGTAGCAATGCTTGCCAGGCAGAACCTCCTCTTTTCCTCCCTGAACTTCTCGTTTGCAAAATATCCAGCCTGAGAAGGAGTCTTGTAGAGCTCAAAAACATACTTACTATTATGTGACATTTTTGTCTGTCATAATAATGAGAATGCTGAACTATAGATTTTGGATTCTTTTTTTCTGAAAGGAAGGACCATTGCACCTTCCTTTGCTTTTTAGGTGTACGAGGGGCATTCATTAAAGATTTCCCCTGATGTACTTCTCGCGGACTGAGACAAACAAAACTGGACACAGTTATTAGTCTTTCTCTACATAGCTACCAGCAAGAATCACACACTTCTCCCATCACTTTATGCAGCTGTGGAGACCTCATCTGTAAAAGTTGGCAGGTTGCGTCAGAAGCCACAACATGACCTCAGAAATCAGTATTTCATCGTCTGTTAAAAGCTTGCCCTTCAAAAATAACTTCATGGTTGGAAAGAGGTGGAAGTCCGATGGTGTGAGGTTGGGAGAATAAGGGGGGTGAGGAAGGATTTCATAGCCACAGGACTGTGCTCCTGTCTGAGCAACATGAGAATTGTGAATGGGAGTGTTATCCTGCAGGAGGCAGACACCTTTGGTCAGCATACCACACCTCTCGATTTTGATGGCCTTCCGCAATTTCTGCAGCAGTGAAGTGTAGTATGTCCTGGTAATTGTGGTACCCCTTGCCAGGAAATCCATCATCACTACTCCGCCCTAGTCCCAAAAGACCATGGGCTTTACCTTGCCCACTGATGGCTGAACACGTTCCTACTTTGGAGGTAGTGAGGCAGAGTGCTTCCATTGTTTGGACTGGGATTTGGTTTCTGAGTCATAATGATGGACCCATGTTTCGTCTTGAGTAATTAGTCTGGTGAAGACGTCATCATGGTTTTCGTGACACATGGCCAAAAGAGCCCATGAGCATGTGACTTGTTCCTGCTTCTGGAAAGGCATCAGCAGACAGGGAACCCACCATGCGGACACCTTTCCCATGTGCAAATGGTCATGGATGGTGTTTTTCTACAGAGCCCACACTGATCTTGACATCTGCAGCTAGTTGGTGAATGGTTATGTGGCGATCCTCCAAAATGGCGGCCTCCACTTGCCGGATGGTGTCGTCATCAATGGCGGATTGTGGTCACCCAGGAATGGGAGCTATTCCACTGAAGTCCAACCACACTTGAACTGACAATGCCAGTGCTTGACTACGTTATACTATGGGGCATCCTCCCCATAAGTCCCTTTCATCTCATCAAACGTCCCATGGTGTGGGCCCTTTCAAGTACAGAAACCTGATAACCGCTTTGCATTCAACTGGTTCCATTATCAGAGGTTACTCCACGTTAGCACCCGCAACAGAGAAACTGCTAGGAGTTCAGAGCTACAAATTACGACATTACCTATGGAGAGATGTGCAATTTTATCCTCCTACGATAACTGGAAGTGGGTCAGTGGAAATCTTTAATGAACGACCCTCAATACAGGAAGCTAGGTTGACTTACATTTTAACATCTGTTGGATCCAGGCGTTATAAGGGTCTTGCTTACAGCCAGTACTTTTTTCTGGGGGGATGCAGAGGGGCGTATACCCCTAAACATTTTATGAATCTAAGTTTGGCCTCGTTGAAGGGCAATATTTCAATGGGAGTAGCAAAATGAGAGTACCCCTAAACATTTTTAAAGAAAAAAAAGCACTGCTTACAGCCAACTTCCTCCCCACCCCAACTCATAACACTATTATTATTTTTTACCAAGTTTGAATGCCACCCCTAGCTTTCAGATATTTCATATGACAGCCAATTTCTTGTGTGTGTCAGAGCAGCTGGGGCGGGGCGGCGGTCATTACAGAGCTTCAGCTGGAGGATCGAAAAGAGAGTGGGAAATTCCTGCTTTGTGTTTAAATATATGTCTTCAGTAGGGAGTTAGGAACTGAAAAAAGATCTCCTGGAGGCAGAGACTAACACCAGAAGGAGTCATCTCACATGTTCATACTTGAGTGTATGAAAGACTGAAGAAAATTTCTATTAAATTCCATGTCTGATCCATAAATCCTACCTATGATGCCTCTACTGAGCTGACTGTGACACTCCTGGGAACCTCAAAAACAGTCACAAGTCTTTACTGATAGGACTGGTATCTAGGACCTCTCCTGGGACAAGAAGTGGGGTCACAGCAAGAAGCACACCACCAGCTGGGGTGCACCCACCACACTTGTCTCCTGGTAGATGGATTGCTATTGCCTATAGTGAGGGGAAGGGGCCAGGATGGGGCTAGGGCTGGCCCAAGACTTTTTGCACCTGATGCAAAATAAAAAACAGCGCACACACATCCTACCACCACTTCCTGCACATCTGCCCCTACCCTCCTTTCTGGGTTTGCTGCCCTGCTGCCCTGCCACTGTTCCCAGCCTGCTGCCTGAGGTGACTGCCTCAGTGAGGCTAATGGGTAGACCAGCTCTGGAAAGCAGGGAGACCAGTGTGGTGTAAATGCACCAGCAGGAGCACTGGATTGGCTCTGCCAGTGAGTTTGCACTGTGCCAGCCTCCCCACCTCTTTGCACCTATTGCTCCTAGTAAACAACGACCTAGCTGCTGGTAAGGTAGAGCAGTGGTTCTGCCCAACTCAGGAAGCCACTTTTGTTCACAGCATAGAAATGTAGTTGACAGATGAGGGAAGAGAAAAAACTGGGTGAATTCTGCAGGGAGGAGGCTGGATGTTTAAAGCAGTTTGTACAACTCATACAGCTAAAAAGAACAATTTGACATTAAACTCAAATTGAGTGACATACAACTAAAAGTAGAGTGACATACAACTACAAAGAAGAGTTTGGTCTCAAACCTATGCAGAGAAAAGAAAAGATTGAATAATGAAAGATCTATTTAAAGCTGGGGGGTGTTGTTGTTACTGGAGAATATTTGGCTCAAAATTGGGGTGGGTGGGGAGAAGCAACATTCTGAGCGTCTTGAAACTAGGGAACAGTTTTGGGGTGCATGAAATTATTTTGAATATTCATGGAAGTGGCTCTTATAGCTGGCAGTTGAAAGGACTTTTTAAAATCTCCTCCTGGTGGCCATTTGCCACAGAGTGCTAGGGCCAGTATAAGATGGGGGACACCTGGCTTACTTGTAGTACATGTGAAAAGGATCTAGGGGTCTTCTTGCTGTTTTTTAGTCGTTTAGTCGTGTCTGACTCTTCGTGACCCCATGTACCAGAGCACGCCAGGCACTCCTGTCTTCCACTGACTCCCGCAGTTTGGTCAAACTCATCCTGGTAGCTTCGAGAACACTATCCAACCATCTCATCCTCTGTCGTCCCCTTCTCCTTGTGCCCGCCATCTTTCTCAACATCATGGTCTTTTCCAGGGAGTCTTTCTCTTCTCATGAGATGGCCAAAGTATTGGAGCCTCAGCTTCAGGATCTGTACTTCTGGTGAGCACTCAGGGTTGATTTCCCTAAGAATGGATAGGTTTGATCTTCTTGCAGTCCATGGGACTCTCAAGAGTCTCCTCCAGCATCATAATTCAAAAACATCAATTCTTTGGCGATCAGCCTTCTTTATGGTCCAGCTCTCACTTCAATACATCACTACTGGGAAAACCATAGCTTTAACTATACAGACCTTTAGTGCACTAGGGGTCTTAAAGGTAAAGGTAAAGGTACCCCTGCCCATTCGGGCCAGTCTTGACGGACTAGGGTTGTGTGCTCATCTCACTCTATAGGCCGGGAGCCAGTGCTGTCCGCAGACACTTCCGGGTCACGTGGCCAGCGTGACAAGCTGCATCTGGCGAGCCAGCGCAGCACACGGAACATCGTTTACCTTCCCGCTAGTAAGCGGTCCCTATTTATCTACTTGCACCCGGGGGTGCTTTTGAACTGCTAGGTTGGCAGGCGCTGGGACCGAGTGACGGGAGCGCACCCCGCCGCGGGGATTTGAACCGCAACCTTTCGATCGGCAAGTCCTAGGCGCTGAGGCTTTTACCCACAGCGCCACCCGTGTCCCACTAGGGGTCTTAGTGAACCATAAACTTAACTTTTGCAGCAGCAAAAATAAGCTAAATTTCTTCTAGGCTGAATCAACCGAAGCATAGTGTCAACAGAAGTAATAATACATTCAATTCTGCCTTGGTCAGACCACACCTGAAATACTGTGTCCGATTCTGGGCACTACAATTTAGGAAGGATGTTGACAAGCTGGAACATGTGCAGAGAAGGGAAACCAAGATGGTCAAGGGTCTGGAAACCAAGCCTTAGGAGGAACAGTTGAAAGAGCTGCGTATGTTTAACCGGGAAAAGAGGAGAGTGAGAGGAGATATGATAGCCGTCTTCAAATATCTAAAGGGTTGTCACATGAAAGATGGAGCAAGCTTGTTCTCTTCTGCTCTGGAAGCTAGGATCTGAACCAATAGCTTCAAGTTACAAGAAAGGAGAATCTGACTAAACATCAGGAAGAACTTTCTGACAGTAACAGCTGTTCAGCAGTGGAACGGACTCCTCCAGGAGGTTGTGGACTCTCTTTCACTGGAAGTTTTACATCAGAGGTTGGATGGCCATCTGCCATGGATGCTTTAGTTGAGATACCTGCATTGCAGGGGGTTGGAATAGATGACCCTTGGGGTTCCTTCTAACTCTAAATTTATATGATTCTAAGATGCTTCTAGAGACACGGGTGGCGCTGTGGTCTAAACCACTGAGCCTAGGGCTTGCCGATGAGAAGGTTGGTGGTTCAAATCCCCACAATGGGGCGAGCTTCCATTGCTCAGTCCCAGCTCCTGCCAACCTAGCAGTTCAAAAGCACGTCAAAGTGCAAGTAAATAGGTATCGCTCCAGTGGGAAGGTAAACGGTATTTCCGTGCACTGCTCTGGTTCACCAGAAGCGGCTTAGTCATGCTGGCCACATGACCTGGAAACTGTCTGTGGACAAACACTGGCTCCCTCGGCCTATAGAGTGAGATGAGCGCCGCAACCTCAGAGTCATCCGTGACTGGACCTAATGGTCAGGGGTACCTTTACCTTTTTAAGATGATTCTATGCTCCAGATACACCGCGGGAGAAATCCTGTCTGCTGCAAAAAATTATACCCCCTCCTGTGGCGGCCATTTCCCCCCTGAATGTTTGGAGAACTCTGCCCTTTGTTGACTTTTGTTTCCTGGCCTTGCAGGACAGCCACACTGTTGCACTCAGTTGAGACCTTAGGTTGAAATAGGCAAGACCTATTCTCCAAACTTCTACTGGAAAGGGGTGGAGTGTTTGTTACAAAATGTCGCCTATTCCAAAGCACTTCCAGTTGACAATAGTATCTAACGATACAATTCAGAATGTTATGGGTGGTTCGCCAGCACTGATGGGCTTCTTTTTTTCTTTTTAAGTCAATGTTGAAGCACTGTCATTCAAATATTTAGCTCACAATAAAGTTTCTGAGTTTATCCTCTTTCTTTTCCTTTTATAGCTCTAGAATGGCACGGTCTACCTTCTGCACATATCAACGCAGGCTGAGCTAATAGGCAAACATCCATCATGCCTTTTGCCTTAAGCAGTGGTTTTCAACCTTCAGGCAATGCTGAGCAAAAATAAAACATTTCTTGGGCACAGGAAACCCTGCCAGCAGTATGCAAAGTATTTATGCAAGTCTCCAGTGAATATTAATAATCTTGCTGCAAGGATACACACACACACACCCTGATTTGAATTTTAACAAAAAAAAAATATCCAGCATTAAAATCTGTTCAAGGATTCTCAGTATCCTTCTGTTTGAAAAGAGGAGAGCCAAAGGTTCAATTCAAGGTCTATTTAATTGCCTGATCCTTTGTGCTGCTGTGCTGAAACAGCAGGTCATGGGATTAGGGGTCTGGGACACAGACTGCATGGCTTGTTCTTTGTCACTTTCAGTGCTGGCACACTTCGAATAGAAGACACCTGGGATTCTCTGTAAAGCAAAAGTTCAGGTAAATTTGGAGGGTGCTATTCAGCTGAAGTTTATCAAGGAGTTTCTGTGGCAAAATAATTTGGTACGGATAGCAAGATCTCTTGGGGATGGGTTGCATATCTTTGAGACCTAACAACATTACCTATCTTATAAGGGCAGGTTATATTTTTTTAAAAAAAATCTAATTTGGAATGCTGGCGTAGGGAGAAGTCACTGTCAGATTGTTGCTGTTTTGTGGGTAGAGTGCAGTACAGCAAACCCTCTTGCTCCCCGAAATCACACTTTTTGCAATAATGTAAATGATGGGGGAAATGCCCTGGGAAATGTGGAGTACAGTACCAACTGCCTGATACGAAATCGTAGAAGCACCCCGTAATGAAATCAGGATGAATAAGCAGCCGAAATTGCACAACATCCTTGCAAACTTTGCACAGATAAACCAAAACGAATGCTCAAAAAGCAGGTCAACAGGGGTTGCCATGGCTACTCCTGCTTCTGCACCAGCCACAAATCTGACGGCAGTTTGAATGGGCATTCCCTGCTCACTGGTGTACACATGTAGCTTCTCTTAGCCTTAGATTCCCTCTTACATGGAGGCACACTTAGAATAAGAGTTGCTATTCATCTAAGTCCTGTTCACACTGCCAATAAACACATACCTGGTTGCAGTGTGGCTGCTATATCTGTCAAAAGTTGAAATTGTTGTTTTTGCTAGTGTCTCATGAGCCATACCATAGCTCTGAGGCAGTAACAAATGCTTCAAGTATCCTTGAAGAAAAAGAAAAAAGGAGGTACCAGAACTCACTATGAATACCTCCCTTGTTGTCTTTTAATAGCAATGCCACTCACCTCAGAGGTGCTGGAACTGAGTTCTGGTGAGTTCTGGCTGAAAAAAGCCCTGCTGATCTCAACTGTTGGTTTGGGGGGGGGGGGGGTTGAGGGGCGAGTATATAAAGAGAATTCCTGGCTGCCCAGATCCAAGTTTGAGGCAAATACTCTTTGGTAAGAGAACCTCATCAGGGATTTAAAATCACAAAATATGCAGCAAAGTAAAGTGTGGAAATATAGGCGGTTAGATCATTAAAATATGTGAGTTCCAAAAATTCTCACATCCTCCAGCATATGAAAACACTACAAGTTTCATAAGTTAAAAAATAGTTTACTCTTCAAAGGTCAGGTTCATGTGCTTTCCCACCTATCAGTCAGGAAACTTGCAAAGGCAGTAAAACTTGGCTTCCTTCCAAAGTGGTGAAATTTCCTAAATTATGAGAGCCATGCTGTCTGAGCTTGGCACAACCAGCTCAGACCTCTTCACATGAAGGAGCGTCTCCACCCCCCATCGTTCTACCTGGACACTGAGGTCCAGCGCTGAGGGCCTTCTGGCGGTTCCCTCACTGCGAGAAGCCAAGTTACAGCGAACCAGGCAGAGGGCCTTCTTGGTAGTGGCACCCACCCTGTGGAATGCCCTCCAACCAGATGTCAAAGAGAACAACAACTACCAGACTTTTAGAAGACATCTGAAGGCAGCCTGTTTAGGGAAGCTTTTAATATTTGATGCATTACTGTATTTTAATATTTTGTTGGAAGCCGCCCAAAGTGGCTGGGGAATAATTTATTATTATTCTTATCATCATCATCATCCTCATTATCATCATCATCATCATCACATGTTGAACTTTTCAGGTAGACTGGAGAGTGCATAATAGGCCTGGTTACCTTTGTTCCTCGCAAAGTGAGGGGAAGTGGACATAGCTAAGCATAGCAGGACAGCTTACTGTAAGGTTACCAGATGTCCCCGTTTCACGGGGACAGTCCCTGGATTTACAAATCAGTCCCCTGACAAAATCCACCTATTTAGGAGGAAGTTGAAAAGTGTCCCCAGATTCATTGAAGAAAATCTGGTAACCTTAGCTTACTCTTTGCTATCAAGCCCTTCATGTATTAATTAGACTTTAGCATGTTGGCTGTATGAGGCTGGAAGATCAGTATTATTACTCTCATATTGCCAGCGGTAGAGGACTCAGGATGAGAGACAGTGTCTTTCCTGAGACCACCCAGTGGAGGTCTGAAAAACTTGTGACTCGCATGCTCATCACAGGCACCAAGGATTCGGTAAACTGCTTGGTTTTTGTGTTGACAAAGAGTTGGGAAAAAAGGTGGGGCAGAGGCTTCTACTGAATATTTGACAGGCCACAATGCACGGCTGATAGACTGCATTTGATGTTGCAAGAGCAAAATTGTGCAGACTGGCAATACTTGAACTCAGGACTTTTCTGGTCTGCAGATCAGTCTCTTATCTGCAAGATCTCCCAGTTACTCTGAAACGACCCCTTTCAGTATTGCTTCTCCCTCCCCCACTTGCCATTATTCAGCTTTGCTTTCCTCTCTTTCTTGATTTCCTCATGATGTGTATTTGCTCAGAAATGCAATTTTCTTTTCTTATCCATCCATGTCCTTTGGATGTTCCTCTCCCCACCCCCCAGGCTTCCTTTTCTTTTTTTGCCCCCCTCTCTCTTCTGCAGAATTTTGACAAACAAAACATTAAAACCAGTCCAGGGGAAGGAAAAATGTATATATATTTTACAGTCCATTTGCTGAGCTGCTTGCACAGTCTCCTCCGGAAAAAAAGAAAGAAGGAAATATAATGGAGTGTGTTGTACAGGAGAAATACTGACATACAGCACATTCAGTGACCAAAAAGTTTTTTTCCCCCCATAGAGCAATAATACTTGGCATGAATTTAATCTGTTATAGGGCACAGAACTCTCCTCAAACTCTTTTTATGGTCGTTAAAGCTCCTTGGAGGTTTCTTGCTGTTAGCAAAGTCAACTTAAATAATGCAGATGAAGCCCAGAGAGAGAATCCTAATAACACTTTACTTATGAAACTGAATAAAAACAGTGTATAATTTGAGGAGAAATAAACAGAGAGAGGAGTATTCAAATAATTCTGATTCAGAGTAAATCTTTTGAAGTTAATGGTCATGACTAACTTAAGTTTATTAATTTCAATCAATCTATTTTGCGTAGGACTTAATTGAATTCCACCAAAAAGTTTTATCTTTCTTGCTTCAGGTCTTGTACAAAGCAGGGAGAAAACTCTTTTTTTAAAAATGATTTTTATTATGTTTACATTTTTTACCATAGTCACAATCCACTCTTATCATCACCTAAGACTTTACTCATCCTGAGCCTCAACCCCCCCCCCTCCACTCCCTGGCAAAAATATTCAATATATTTCAAAAATATTCACTTTCATCATAGCGTTTCTATATCAACTTATTTACCTTCTTCCTATGCTTATGAAATTTACCTTGATAATTGTAAACCAGCTCCAAAAATTAACATTACAAAATATTTTAACTCAAACTTGCAAATGTTTTCAAATGTTTACAATGTTCTCTCATATTGTATAAATTTATTCCAGTTCTTTTTGAACAGCTCGTTATGCTGGTTTCAGATCTTCCCCGTCAGCTTTGCCAGTTCTGCATATTCAGTCATTTCAGTCTGCCATTCTTCCAACGTTGGAAGTTCCTGCTGCTTCCATTTCTGGGCTAAAAGTGTCCTCGCAGCTGTGGTAGTGTACATAAATATATTTATGTCTTTTTTTAGAATTTCTTCTCCAATTATACCCAACAAAAACGCAGGGGAAAAACTGAACAGAATCTATTTTGAATGTTCCCCATTACTTCCTCCCACATTCCATCTTAAGACTGTGGCTAAAAACCTCCATGCATAGCTTCAATATCAGCTAAACCTTCCCCCCACCCGAACCTTACCTTCTAATCTGATGAAGAGTTCTGGAGAACTTGAAAGTTTCAAAACTATTATGTAATCTTTTTTGATTGGCTTAATTTGGTATCACCCAAATGCGATGTCACTAAGTTTCAGAATTGTGCAGGTTTGGCAATGACCCCTATCCTTCTTTCAGAAACAATAATGTGTTGTGTTATGCATTGACTGATGCAATAAATATGTCCCTGGAAGCCTTGGCAAGCAACAATTCACAGAAATCTTTGTGACGGGAACTTGTCGTGATGTCAGCACTGACCTTGTCCAAGGTAAAGCCTTGTGCAAAGCTCCGACTATGCTATAAGAGAGCACAGCTCTCTCAATTGTAAGCCCTGCTTCTACTGAAAGTTGCCTCTTCAACTAAAGGTTGTTCCAGCAGTGTTTGACTCTTACTGTACTAGGGCTTCTGTGATGGAGTCCTCTGAGTTACAGGATGACATTGTGACATCATTGGGCCAGGGCAGCTCTGCTGTCATGGTCTCACCTTGCAGATTTACTTCTGGGGCTGGCCTTGCATGCATCCTCAGTCTCATCCCCCGAAGAAGAGGAATCCAATCTCTGGGTCATAACAGAATTGTTGGGAACCTACTTCTTTCTAAGACTTTAATGCCTAATGATTATGGAACAGTCCTCTTCCTCTTCCTCTGAATCACTGCTGTTGAAAGAATAAGTTTGAGGACTTAGGGGAAAGGGGGAAATAGTGGAAAGCAGAGAAGGCTTGGGTCAGTAGAGGACTGGCAGGAAAGCACTTGGAATAGGGCAGGTTTCTCCAAGATCTCAGTGCACTGTGAAAAAGCCTGATAAGAATGAGCCCATCGAAAAACTCAGCCTTAAACAACACCATCTATTTGTGGTGATGAGAACTAAAGCAAACTGCTGATTTTAGTAACAAGCATTAATGGAAAGGAAACCATGTTCCAACCAAAGAGGAATGGTTGAACAAACTATGCGAATATTTGGAATTAGCAGTTAACTGATTTAATAAGACAAAAACCAAAAAGTATAATACAGAAACAATGGAAATGTTTAACTGATTATTTATGCAGACAAGGATCAAATACAATGTTTTGGTTGTGTTTAAAGTAGACTTGTGAGACATCTAGAGAATTTATTGAATTGATCATCTATGTGGGATTCTGTGGGAGAAAAAATACAGAAAAACAGATATAACTTTGTTTAAAATGTTTATAGGAAGTGCAGTGTAAGTGGTGGAAGTCAATGAAATTTTATTATTATTTACCTATTGAAATAGATGTAGAATAAACTTGGAAGAAACTCTTCCTATTTACTTCTTCTTTTTTCTTCTATTTTTTCCTTTTTAAAGATTTATTCCTTCTTTCTTTCCTTTTTTCTTTCTTCTATATTTTTCTTTTTTATTAATAACATCGAGATCTTTGTACATATGTTACGTAAATGTAATATTTTGCTTTGATTTTGTAATAACTATGTTAAATTAATAAAATATTTTAAAAAACAAGCATTAATGGGCAGTATACAAATTTTAGATAGAGTGATACAGTGATAGATGATTGATAGATAGATAGATAGATAGATAGATAGATAGATAGATAGATTTTCTGGGTTTTTATACATCTGTAGACAAGCATTGCTAATTTAGGAACAAGAACTGGGGATATGGGAAGGGATTGTTGATCTTTGTGAACCACATTTGTGGAAAGCTTCTGGGCTCAAAGCAATGGCACCATGAACATTGGTGTCAGTGTCATTAATGCTGAACTGTCAATGGCACCACATGCTATATATTCCACCATGTTGTGAAAATTAATAAACCCAGTCCCATTAGTTATCATGTCCAACCAGGTTAGGAAGGGCCGTGGATCAGTAGCAGAGCTGTTGCTGGCCATGGAGGAGGAGATCCCAGCTTCAATCCCCAACGTCTTCAGGTAGGGCTAGGATATGAGAGATTCCTTGTCTTGGAGAGCCTCTGCCAGTCAACAAAGACAATCCTGAGCTATTTGGACCAAGGGTCTGACTCGGTATAAGTGCAAGTCAATAAACCTGACATTATAAGTCCACTGAAGAAGTAAGATGGCACCAACAAGAAATAAAATGGTGCCAACAATCAGGAGAACAATAGGACATTGAACAGTGTACTGATTTTTGCCACTGACAGGCTTTTTATTATTGGTATCCCAGCTCTTGTGGTTTTTCTTTGTTATTATCTATTAAATTTATTAGTTGCTTGCTACCCAAGGAGTCTCTAAGCGATTTACAAAACTTGCAAAACATAAGGTATAACATGAAATCAAAAAGGTGGGAAATAATATTATATTAGAGTTCTTAAAAATACCAAAATCAACAGGACAGAGTCAGTATAACAAACGGCATGGAAGAATATTTTATTTTTTTCTTGTTACAGGTAGGTTGTTACAGGTACAGGCCGTGTTGGTCTGCCGTAGTTGAAACAAAATTTAAAAATTCCTTCCAGTGGCACCTTAGAGACCAACTAAGTTTGTTATTGGTATGAGCTTTCGTGTTGCATGCACACTTCTTCAGATATTTTATTTTTTCTTGTGACTGTATATTGACAGTGACCTGTTGTGGAATTTAGCTTTTTGGCTTTTGTTGGTCCCCAACCCAATAACTTGTCATGTATCGTTTGGTTGCTTCCTTTAAAAGTACTATCTTTCTATTTGATTATACATGCTGGCATTTTTTTAAATTTGATTCCTCCCCCCCCCCCCACAACAATAACAAAACTGATCCAGGAAAGCAAACTTCTGACATCTTTGGTCTGTGGGTATAAAAGTCACCCCAAGGAATCTTTTTGGTTATAGAGATAGATATATAGATATAGGACTGAGCTAATGATAAAACATTGGGGTGTGTCAGAAAACAAATCCTGCTGTGGATTACAATTCCAAATTATTTCTTGTGTGTAATTATTTCTTATTTGAGTGAAATGAAAAACGTAGAAGAAGGTGGCAACAAGTATGAAAACAACAACAACACCAACAACGTAACCCTACCATTATCAGGTCCATACTGTGGGTATAGATATCACTTAGTTGAGGACAATTTAATATGTATTGGGCACAAAGGGTTTCATATACTTGTGACAGGAATTGGTTTTAAGGTTTAAATGTTAAAGTCACATTTTAAATACTTAATTGCCCACCTGGTATTTTAAAGGTAAATGTATTAACAGCATGCATTCACATAAAAAATAGAATATAATCTAATTTCTGGGAGAAAAATGGCATACAAATATGGGACAAGCAAAGCTTCTTCAAGGTTCTTTATGTTAAACAATGATCAATGCCTCTGGGAAGGAACTTTGGGAAATGTATGCAAGTATATGAGATGTATCTAAAATTCCCTTTTAATGAGATTGATGGCGATACCTACCAAGTTTCCTCTGTTTAGCATACAAAGGAAATGTTTGCTCATAGCTTTCCTCTTTCTGATTATCTTATAGATTGTAATTCAAAAGGCCTGGTGATTAGTTGTGCTATGTTTAAATGTTATCAGTGTTCTGTTTATGACACGACTGTGGGAGGCAGATAGGATTAGCATTGCCACAGAGATTTCTGTCGTGGAATAAACAGTCCCATGCGAACAAGTTCTCTGATTTGAACAAAGACCGAGGGCTTGTTCATCTGAAGGCAAAATGGCGTTAATTCAGATTAATTTTCCTGTTACCTCACAACTATCACATTTGAGTTAGAGGTATCCCAGAATATTGGGCTGCTTACCTTTGCTGAAGATTAGGAAAGCAGGTGCTAGCTGTGTGGTCTATAGGCATGGAAGAGTCAATCTGCACATTCATGTCTACTTCCCGATCTCTTGACTTCTCAATAATCAAGGTGAGTCCACACAAACATGTTCTGGAATTACATTTCACTCAGATCGGTCTGTGGTGACCCACCCAGCAATTTCTACCACTTTTTAATGAGAGTTTATTGCAACACATACACAAACCATCCAATATTTCTCCTCCCAATTTTCCCCAAAAAATAAAATAAAATGCATAATTATTAAGTAAAAACCAATAATTATAGAAAGAGATCTACTGTTGCTTTCTTTCTCTCCGTCTGTCTCTTGCAAGGTCACGAAACAAATACTAAAGTGAAGTAAACAACAACAACCAGCTCCTCAACGTAGGAAAAACTCCCTGTACATGTTTTGTATCACAACTCCTTGCTTTCAGTTTCATGTATAGGGTGTCCAAATTAGTTTGTTACTTTCGGGCATGTAACACATTTCACATGTATTGCCAGCCCCTTCTGTGCAGTGATATGCGATCTTGAAAACGACACTGGCAGACACCCATATCTTCTTTGTCAACCTCTGTACGAGGTTGTCAATCCGGTGAGGCTGCCTGCTTTTAACATGCCAAAACCAATGCAAGTTATGGGTTTCTAGCCTACTATAATCTGATTTTTTCAAGCAAAGTAATATTGTATAACAAGATTTATAGTTCTTTCAGTCCTTGGCATTAAAACTGTAATAACACCATGGTGGTGAACCTCTGGCCCAAAGGCATGATGAGTCCCAGCAGGGATCTTAATATGACCTGCAAGTCCTTTTCCCCCAAGCCATACCCATCTGCCCTACATAGGACATCACATATGAGATCAGGTCTGTAGGGCAACTAAAACATGGTGACTGTCAGCGCTTGTGGTGTCTTGTGCCTTTGCCAGAGCAGTTTGATTTCAAACCACCCCAGCAAAGGAAGCAGAATTAGCAGGTACAACTGACCGGCTGATCATCACTTCACAGTGTCATCTTAAACCCTGTGGGCAAACTGATGTTATGGTAACACCAGGTGATTGGCAGATGGGTGGCCTGGGGGGTGTTGGTTAACCTACACATCTATCTCATCACACCATAAATGGGCTCCACCCTTTCTGGTATTAAGAGTATTAAGATCAAATTATTATGATTTAATTATTGTCTTTTATGTTCTTTCTGAAAACTGAGACGACACCTTCTTTTGAAACTATTAATTCTCTTCTTCTTGCACTCTTTTATTGGTTGCAAATAGTATAACTTTTGCTTTTTGGTATAGTTTAAAAACTAGTTGCATGTGAAAAGGTTTCTGAATTTCTTAGTCTTTTGAAACATACATGAAACGGAAGGATAGAACAGTAGAAGGCAATGTCTCTTTATGGAAAACAATTTCTTACTGCCAATAGCGCTAGGACATATTTTGGAACTGCTGTGTTATAATGGAGGCCATGAAAAAAGCAATCATTTCAATAAACTATTATGCTAAGTAAATCACAGTGCTATGAGATGCATATACAGGGTGTTTGGGTTTTTGGTATTTTTTTTCACTTTAATGCTCATTAAAATTCACAAGCAGGAAAATTGGAATTGACACTCTTTCTTCTTTAATGAAGCTATCCCTTTATTTCAGC